TCTCCCCTTGCTAATGTTTCCAATGTAATTTGGTGAATTAATGTTTTATCATAATATTAAAATTATTTTGAAATAAAAATAATATATAATTTGTTTGATTTTTTTTATATTACATTTATATTAGAATAATTAAAAAAAATAAAACTTCATCATAATTAAAAATTAGTTAAAATATTTTAATTAATTTCTTTATTTATTAATTTAAAAAGTCCGACTTATTATTATTTTTAGATGAATATAACATATATTTTAAAAAATGACTTTTCAATATTTATATTCATCTTAATTTAATTTTGATTAGTATATTTTATATATTAATCAAAATTTATGACCTCTGACATTCTTCTTTTAACAATAACAATAAGCCTTTACCTCATTTTGTGGAGTCAATAATATAAATTCTTTTTCTTCACTGTGTCTTATGAAAAATCAAACTTTCATTTAAATTTTAAAAACAAATCATTTCTAATATAAAGAGAAAAAAAGATAATTTCTAATATTTTTTATTCAATTATTTTTAGATATACATCTATCTTTAACATAGGTTGAAATTAAAACATTTACTCTTCTAACAAAATCATCAGAATGCCAATATTTTACGTGAACAAATCCTCTATAATAACTCCCTCTAGTCTTATCTACCATTGTATATACTCTAATATTCATCTTGATTAATTTAAATTTTAAATTTAATATTCATCTTGATTAACATTTTTTAGTACAATTTTTTTGAAATTTTAAAAAAACTTAATTATAAATTCATTCAAATATTTATAGATAGTAGACTTCAAACTCATTATCTTATTATAGACCCAAAGCTCTAAGTATTTTAAAAAATGCAACATGAAGACTTCAAAATTCTATCACATGTCTTAAAAGAATTTTATATTAAAAAGTTAAGATAAATTATATAGATATTTAGGACATAGATTGCAATTTTAAAATTAAAAAAAAAATCGTAAGGGGACTAAAAAAAGCCGTTTTATTACTTTTTAAAACAATTTTTAAATAAAAAAATATTAATTTTTATAATAAAAATTGTTTCAAGAAACAGTAAAAAAAGCCGTCCCAAACGAGGCCTAAGAAGCCGTAAAAAAGGAATTTTTATTGCCTAAGGTTACCTGACGTAGAAATACATCAGGTAGCCTATAATATATCGCCACGTGCTCTTACTCTTTACCGCGCGGCCCGACGACCCAACCCGAAATGAATATGCTCGGTATTGCTAGGTACTACTCGGTATTTGCTCGGTATTTGATCAGTATTTGCGGCATTTCGTCGCGGGCAGCGAATAGCTTGGAGGGCCTCGCAGGCATCAATGATGCGGGAGATTAAAGGACGGGAGTTGGAGTTGGCGATAAGGTGGAGGATAACCTCGATGTCGGAAGAGGAGTTCAAGATGGAGCCGGAGTCTTCGAGGCTGGCTCGGAGGGAGGAGTAGTTGACGAGATTACCGTTGTGGGCGACGGCAAGTTGGCCGAAGCGGTAGCCTGCGAGAAAGGGTTGGACGTTGGCGAGGGAGGAGGCGGAACCGGCGGTGGAGTAGCGAACATGGCCGATGGTAATACCGAGCAAATACCGATCAAATACCGAGCAATACCGAGCAAATACCGAGTAGTACCTAGCAATACCGAGCATATTCGTTTCGAGTTGGGTAGTCGGGCCGCGCAGACGAGCACGTGGAGATATATTATAGGCTACCTGATGTATCTCTACATCGGGTAATTTGAGGCAATAAAAATTCGTAAAAAAGCCCTCTCAAATAAAGTCATAATGCGAAGTCAAATCTAGAATTAAACAAATTAAACAACTAAAAAAAATTGATCTAATTGCTGATTATAGCTATATAAAAGTAATGAAAATAAGCACACCGACGTTCAAAAACCAAGCAAAATACAGCAAATACTGTGGGAAAATTAATCAAGAACAAGTCTTTGATAAAACAAAAATGATTTTCAAGGCTAAAATTCTTCTTCAGTGAGAGCTTCTTGGATGAGCTTTTCTGTAAGAGCCTTTGGAAGTCCCATTACACTGTCAGAAGCCCCAATCTGCAGATATGCCACAATTAATACCGTTGATGACAAAATTTAAAATATTAGCTACTCTTTATGCTCAGATTACTCAGTGATTAATACAAACCACAGCTTCGACTAATGGCAATATCAGAGGATGTTCTAACAGCAAGCCTCCAGCAACATTGAATACAATTCCTTCCTTGATCTAAGCAAAAAAGAACAAATTTTAACCATTTGGTTAGTCAGGTTGAGCCAAAATTATTGGATTGAGGCTTTTGTTTAAGAGATTAAGAGATTACCAGGTTTTGAATAACCTCATCAGGTATCTGATAGAAGTAAACCTACAACACACTAACATAAAAAATGAGGATAGACGAGAGAAAGAAATCTATAATACTGGGTTGCAAAATCATCATATTCTTAGGCCGCCAGTTTACCCTGAACCGGCCCAGCCGGCCCAAGGGCCGGCTCAGGTTTATGGGAGGCGGAACTTGTCCGCCTCCCTTGCTATTTCCCGCCCACATAGTGGGCCCCAAATTGCCTAATAGATTTCAAATTCAAAATGAGGGGGTGGCTAGGTCTTGGGAGGGAGATTAGATTAGAAAAGTGTTTTTATTAAAAGGAAGAGATGTTTAGGGAAGGATTAGGTTTTGATTTGTTTTCAATTAGGGTTTCTTGGCGACTTGGGCTCTAGACTCTCTGGTCTAGAGATTTGGGAGAGACGATCCTCCTCTCGAATTGAGGATCTCTTGTATCTTGTTTTCCTTATTATTTGGCTTTGATTTTCCTACTGCAATATATTGTTTTGGTCTGTTTTCAACTAGATTTCGCATTATTCTCGCTGTTTTTCACCAATTGGAGATAGGCTTGCTTGCGAACTCAAGTATTACCCTTAGGGTTACTTGCGAACTCAAGTATTTCCTATCACATATTTGATCAGAATAAGAAATTTGCAGTGGTAGCCCTGCACTCAGCAAACTTTAGTTACCTCAGCTTTATCCAAGCCACCAGTTGTCTTTCCTGTCTTGAGATTAATAACATGAACATAGTTCACAGTAGTTATATGACTACCAGAATAGCCTGGAAAGAACATTTCCATGTTAAAAAAGCAATATATTTTATTCAGAAATTATATGGTGTCAATTGAGAAGAGAAGCAAGCACATTACCTTTGAGAAATTGGCGCGCTTCTTCTTGTGTGGTTGGCTTTTCTCTAATTGACCCTTCATGAACCACCACCTCCCAAGTTAATTGAGATTTAGTAAAATATCATGTACAAGAATAAATTATATTTAAACATAAGATAATGACAAGAGGATCACTAATGTTTTTTCTTCTAGTTGTTGAAGGAATGTGTTTTCAGTACTGCACTAAACAAAAATTCCAATAAAATAACATATTTAAGATGACAATCAAATTGATAAATATGCATTTATAGCTAAAAAACTAGATGAAAAACATTGTTTTATAGAACTATTAGCAAATAAAACAAGAATATTTGAACTCATTTCAGTTTGTAGGATTGTGACAAAAATAAATAAAAAACAAGAAAGAGAGAAAAAATGGATAAAAAATAGGGCTACAAATGTACCGAGTGTTCGATAAGCTACTAATGGCTCAGCTCGATAAGAGCTCATTCATATTCTTTTGATTAACTAATCGATTGAGTTTGAAACTTTTATAAATAGTTGGTTATTAAATGAGTAGACATAGATAGCTCGTTGCTCGATCTTTTATGATTATAAATAATATCATTTAAAGTTCTTAAACAAGCTCAATTAATGCTTAAAGAAAAGTGCAATTAAGACGCAATTAATTTATAAAATTAATTAACATTACTATTAATCATTAATGTGGATATAATATATGTGCATTATAAATATATATATTTACAAATTAAATATTTTTAATAATTTAAAAAGTCTATAAAATTAATATAAATATAAATATATTTTATGATATGAATATAGTTAAATATAAGAATATAAAGTTTATAATTTAAGAAAAAGTTTAAGAAAAAAATTATGACTAAAAATTAATATATAAATATAAATAAAGTTTAAGTTGAGATTCAATCCTCTTAACTATAGCAAATTGCACGAAGTTGAATAGTAACCCTTGAACTCCATTCCCACTCCATTCTACCAATGTAGTCCAAGCTTGACCCCATTGAGCTCCTGTCATGAAATCCTCATCACCTTGCACGCCGCCTGCCTTGTTGATGAGCCCCCAAAGAGACCCCATTGCAAAATCCCCGTAATGGTCCAAAATATAATTGCATTAAAATCATAAAGAAAACTTAATTTTGCCTACAATCTTTAAGGTCAAAACAAAACAATCCAACAACAGGCGGTTCAGGAAGGACATTTTATTGTTCTTAGGTCCTCCTTGTGGTGAGGTCGCAAGAAAAGGCACTTGTCGAATGATCATTTACGGCAAGTTCTGCTTAACGAAAAATATCAAAATTTTCTTATAGTTCTTTCCGAACGAAGGATGAGAAAAGGAAGCTCCAAATGTTTCTAGACAAGAACTTTACAGGAAGTTTCATTCCAAATCAACTTGGTTTAAGCATTCTATCAAATATCAAGGTGCAAGCCATGATATCATTGGCTGAGAACAATATCATCAAGTAGTAAGGCCTCGTTAGAGATGCTTTTCAACTTCTTTGCCTTCTAAAAATCACATCATAATTTTATTATGTGCAAAAAATATGAGAAGGAAAGCAATATATTGCATATGAATCTCCTTCATGGCTTTCCAACCATAGAAAAGACATTAAAGTAGTATGTCCATCTATTTTAGAGTAGAAATGATCTCATATGGCAAAACCCGTTACATCATAATAGCAACATTAGCCTTGGCCCCCAGTTTTCACTTATCAGACCTAAAATGCGTACTTATGAAATGCCTTTCAACAAAATTTGCGACAAATTACATAATTTTCCAACCAATATAGATACATTTCTGCTAGCAAAAGGTTAAAACTAATTATTTTTTTGTCAAAACATAAATTAAAAAAAACGAAGCATGAACGGAAGAAAAGTACGAAAAAGGGAACCAAGAAAGTGAGACATACAATATCAGAAGTAATGAGAAGTGTTGGTTCAGCGTCCCTGTAATCTGTAATCTCCAGCCTTGACAAAATAGCGTCAGCCTGAAAAGTTATTATACACGTTAGCAAGATATTTGAAAAAAATGATTATTTAGGAACAAAATCATACCAAAGGAATCTTGTAAATCACAAACAAATTTATGGGTCTATAACGAATATAAACAGATTTGATCATCTCAATCCTTCACTAAAGTTTTGCACATTATTAATTATAAATGGAAGAGGAAAAAGATTTCTCTTATCTTATGGGCATCTACAAGCCTACGAGTGAAACCATTCAGGCCATAAAAATAACTGAAATCTGCCAACCATTATGCTCATTGGCTTTGGCAAATATGAGAAATCAATATTCCATAAATGAATGGCAAACCTTGTGGAGCAGAAACATTGAAGAAGCAAGGAGAAATACAAAACAAATACCATAATGGTACTTTACTTCTTATAGCCAAATGAAATTTTCAACTCTGTGGATCACACTTTTGATCTCTGTCTTCACTGAAAACTCACTTATGATAAAATATAAGAATGAAGTTCGAAGAAATGACACAATAGAGACAATAGAAGTTGGGATGAAATGATCATGAATTCATGATTGCAAAAGAATGCTAATATAACCAGATCCTCTACACAAACTAGAGTTACTCCCTTCACCGAGCACTAAAAACGTAGAAGAATTGAAGAAGCCATTTGGTTATAGTGCTATTGGAGGAAGGCCCGCATTAGCAAAGATAAGAGCAACTAAACTTTAACACAAAGTTCTTTTTTATTTTCTTTGAAAAATACGCCATCAAGAAAATAAAATTGATATTGGCGTTTGAAACTAAACTGAGAATGGAATTTCACAAGTATTCCAAGTGCTAGAGATTTAAGATAAATCCGGCTATAGGTTCACTAAATGCTAGACTCGGAAAAAGGCTTACCTTTGCCTTAGCTAAAACTGTTACCAACTCTTCTGGCTTCTCTTTTCTAATAGCTTTTTCATTTATACCTGCAGTCTAAACCATATAAAAAGTAAATATCACCAATAAGCTAACAGTAAGAAAACTTCCTAACGAACCCTGATTTCAAATTCATAACCCATCTCTAATAAAATCTGTCTACGAGCAACTGATGAAGATCCCAAGATTATCTGCAGCAAGCATCATACCAGAAATAAAGAATACACTAATTAGGATTTGTTAAAAAAAGTAACATTGATGCAATAAATTAAACAAAAAGGTTGGTAAAACGATAATAAGCTTCCATAAACTCTGTAATGCAAAAATATCTGAAGTGCTCTGATGCAAGTTGATTTAAGATTGGGGTTTTTAATGCAACTAGAATAATGCGATATATGTATATCACAAACCACAAAACTCAGATGATAGCTGTGAAAATCAGAACATAAACAATAATGTTATGATCAAGTAAATTTGAAAAAATCAGCGAGATATTCAAACCTCACAAACTCTGCGACCAATTGAAAGTTTTTCATCACTATGAGAATCCCAATTGTGTCGAATTTGAATAAATTTAGCATGCTAGCAAGCAAATTTGTTTAAAGCAATGAAGTTTACAACAACTCATAGAAAACGTTACATGAATTAGCAATTTCATGGGGCTACTATCATAGAAAGAAAAATAAAATACATCGGATCACAACAACATAAAGCAAAGCGAGTATGTCTATCCAAACACATAATAAGTCCAAAATGCCAATCATCAAGGTTTTCTAATTTCTACCTTGGAATATAGTGGATTTGGGAGAGGAAAAATACTCTTTTCCAATTAGTGCCTCGATGAGAAAACATCAAACTTTTTATCACCTAAACCAAATAAACTTCTTACAAAATCTTGAGACTGGAGTACTGGACCGAACTTGGATCATCAATAATCTCCACTATAGAAAATAATATGTAGTGTTGAAGAAGCTAGTTATAATATCGCAAGGAGAAGAAATTGTATGAGTTATAGAAGAACACTCAATAGGTTGACATATATCTAATACATACATGACTCTTGAGATATTAGAAGTCCCAACGGCGGATTTAGGGGGGGGCCTGCGGGGGCACGTGCCCCCCCCTTTGTCCTCGTCAACTTGATGGGTTGTGGAGGAGGTGCGGGAATGCATGCCGGAGGTGGCAAAACGGAGGAGATGGTGATGAGAGGGACGTGGGCGAGGAGAGAAAATTTCGCACAAACTGTTCGCTTTAGCTTGAAGAAGGTTAGTGAAAAAAAATTTTACCTCAGAAAAATTTTGATTTTATTTGGCCGAATCGCTCATCACCTGTTTCCCTTTCTCTGGATCCACATCTTGATTTGTTTTATTTGGTTTTTTATGCTAATTGTATGATTTCCCTATTTGTGTTTGGCTGCATATGTAGGGAAATAAAATTTAAAAAAAAAAATCTCTTGGTGTTTTATGGAAGGAATTATTATAGTGAAATTAATAATTAAAAAAACTCTATTTTTTAACTAATTGCTGTTGAAATTGAATGAATTGAACAGAAAAGTCTAGATGGCAACTTTTGATAAGAATGAATGAAAAAGGAATTCATGAAGTAAATAAAATAAAAAAGTTGGTAAGGCTAATGAGTTTGCTAATTGTACGATACATGTTTGTTTGTTTGTTTCATGTAATGAGCTGTGCTAGTTACAAATTCATGTTCTTGCGATTACCTTTAATCCAAGAGCACCAATTTTATGTTAAGCACTGAGACATGAAATAAATAGTGCTTATTTAATCTTAAGAATTGGTCTAGATTGTAAGTATTTTTAATCTAATATTTAATAGTTTATTTTTAAAAAAAATTAAAATTGTCCATGATAGTCTTAAGCCCGAATGAAAAAATTTGAGGAATTAGAAAAAAAAATAGGCCCCCTCTATGAAAATTTTCTGGCTCCGCCACTGAGAAGTCCCAACATCCAAAACTAATGATAACAGAGGTGGAGGACCACAAGGAGAAGACTATCATCGAACAAACCATCGACAAAAAGTGAAGGCACTAACTCAAAAGATAAATCTAAGGTATATCGAAAGCATAAAAACCCCACAAAGAGATCAAGGCAAAGGGAGCATCACCCAACAAGTTGGTAGTCTCCATTTCATCATGTGCAATTACAACACAAAAATTTAATAAGTTCATACAATGATCAAAAGAATCAACCCCAACATTAGCAAGAAATAATAGTATAGGAACTTGGGTCCAAAAAAAAAATTGTTGAAGTGAGAAATCTTTGCCTTATGTCAATAAAATCCCCATAATCAAATGGTAGCACTTATATCACACTCAAAAGAATCACCCATTCAACTTATCTTAAAAAAATTGGTATCTATAAGAAAATTCATCAGCATAGCTAACCATAACATTGCAATGTTACACTCAATAAGAGCTTCAAACTTGGAGATTCAAACAATGGCAGGGAAAATTATCTCAAAAGGATAGTTGTACAACTACTAGCTTGAAGAAGAAAGTTACTAGCCATATTATTATAGTGTAGAAGCCCAGTAAGAGAAAAAACAATACGTCTCCATATCAGCATAATCAAAATATAAACGATAGCTTCAATATAAAACTAAAAAAGTCGATAGGGCGCCAAGAAACTTATTGGAATAAAGGCAAACCCTAGTGCACAAGAAGAGCAGTAAATGAATTAATTTCGATAGCCTCAATCGCAGGAACATTGAACATAAACGAATAGAACAATGATAGCATTTGAGAATGGCGTACAGCTTCTGAATAACTCAAGAAAGGTCTCTGAAAAAACCATTTAAGCAGACATTCTCATTGTCCTAAAAAACTAAGAACCTAGCAAACCAAGCTGCAAACAATAAAAAAACTAACTTTTTCTTGATAACGAAACAAGAAAGGAAAAGAAAAATATAAAAATAGAAATCGATTTGGTGAGATAATACTGGGAAGGGTATATGATTCGAACGAATTCATGGGTGATAGCCGTAAAGAAAAGTTGGTTTAAGGATGGGTTACCGTGAAACTGTAGCGTTCTTCAAATGAAATAAATCCAAATTTTGTTCTTTGTTGGATAAAGCCTAATTGGTCTCAATATTAACTAAATACAGATGTTTTATCAGTACTCACCTTGAAAGGAGGCTGGCTGATGGCCATTTGCTTTGCCTCTTGCGGGGAATCACGGCGCGAAGAACCGGAGAGGTGGCGCCGACGGGCGAAGCGATCCCGGTAGAAGATAATATTAGGCGCGGACCCTTGTGATTAAAAAAATAATGGAATTGCGTGATCCAAGTCCTTCTAACCTCAACCTCTAAAATTTGCTCGAACCCAATTGATAATAAGGGAATTTTGACTTTATCCTTATTTTGGACAATTTTTTAAAAAATTTTTATAGTATAAAATTATTTTAGAAAGTATTAAAAAAACAATCTCAAACGAAGCCAATTTAAACACTTGTGAATCATGTACATGTATATGTATGGATATATATTTAATTTTCTAATTCATTTGCTCCATTGGAGAGTGACTAGAGAAAAAGTAATAAAATTAAGAAAGAAAGCATTTTTTGTCTTTAGTAAATGACAAAGTGAAGTAAGTGGAAATTGTTGTCGAGCTTTCACTATTTCCTTGTGCGGATCACAATCCTACAAGATTTTCACAATGACATTGATTTAATCATTGTACCATTTTTGACAGTGAAGGGTATATATAGAGTTGCACTTCTCTCTTTTATTTACCTTGATTAAGTTCTTCTAGCTCCTTTGAAAGTGAATGACTTGAGCCCTTTGTAATACACTGATATGGACAGTTGAAATTGAGAAAGGCCCTTGCTTGCAAGCATATGGGAGTGGAGGTTGAAGGGAGGAAGTACAACTAAGCTAGTAAGAAGAAGAGGGTAATAGCTATTAAGATGAGTAAAACGATAAAGGGAGAGCAAAGTAAGGTGGTGGAGATCAAGTCAAGTAAGGTAAGTGAGATTGAGTTAAGTATGGTGGTGACGATTGAGCTAAGTAATGAGAATGTGTCCTTTCTTTGAGATATGATGATGTGCCCTTTTATTGAAAGACACTAGACGAGTCTCCACATTCCAAGGAGCTCATTAAGTACCTACTGTAGCGGAGATGGTGATTTTTGCTCCCATTTTAACTTCGACTCACTCTTGAGTATAGCCTAAAATTAGCCACAAACCCATGCTAGAGGAAGTTAGGAGTCACAATCAATTAGTGAAGATAGGATTTTTATTTTATTTTTTATTTATTTATTTTTAAGCAAGTCACTATTTGGGGTCCCGTGTGAAACTCCTTGAGTAAAAGAAGCTAAACTTTTAAACATTGATGCGCATTTTCATGTAATGACTAGAATTTTATTAAGAAACTCCGCAATTACGCGTGCTCATCCCATAATAATTTTGGGATGTGTGACATACTAGGAAGTCACAGCAACATGAGAAAACCGTAAGACCTTTTATGCCAAAGTGAAAAATATATTCATACTTAAGAGTTTGGGCTTTTACATCGTGTGTCATCAACCTCAAGTGAAAAAATACTCAAGCGAGTTTCGATAAAGGGAGAGCAAAGTAAGGTGGTGGAGATCAAGTCAAGTAAGGTAAGTGAGATTGAGTTAAGTATGGTGGTGACGATTGAGCTAAGTAATGAGAATGTGTCCTTTCTTTGAGATATGATGATGTGCCCTTTTATTGAAAGACACTAGACGAGTCTCCACATTCCAAGGAGCTCATTAAGTACCTACTGTAGCGGAGATGGTGATTTTAGCTCCCATTTTAACTTAAGAGTTTGGGCTTTTACATCGTGTGTCATCAATCTCAAGTGAGTCTGGAATCCACATATACTCAAGCGAGTTTCTAAGTCACATGTCAAGTGAGTTTGAGGCATTAGTCTTGGTTTGGTGGGCACATGCTTTATATATGAGGACTTTGAATTTCTATGATTGATTGCTTGAGGAACCCCTTTTTTATTTGATAAAGAGTTGCCTCTTCATGGTCCTTCATTCCACACAATATGCATGACTCTAATGGTGCAAGATATGGCGGGCCAACATATGTTGATCTCTATGAGAGTCCTATCTGCTATGAAGGATGCTAAGTTTATAAAAGATGGGCCTATAATGAAGCAGTTCCAATCTAAGAACTCTTCACTGCTCATTTCTGTGTTATTACTCATGTTTTTTGTTACGTATTTTACTTTTCATTTATTTCATATGAAATGAATTATTGATTTATAATTATAACAACTTTTTACCACTTTATCTCTCAATAATGGCTCTTTCATTTATGTTAAGGATAGCTTTTCAATTAGTTGAGGTTTACTCTTTATCTAATTATTGAACATGTAAATACAATAATGCAAGAGAATGATGAGGTTTAGTTAAGATTAATTACAATTCAAAATACTATAAGCAAGCATGAAAATTAATCATTCTAAATCCAGTTACAAAGAGAAATTAAAAGCTATAAAAGTTGAATTCCAAATAAAGTTTGATAGGCTAATGATCATATATTATATTTCTAAGTAGTTTGATTAACATTTTCATATTAATATAATGACAAGACATTGGAGAAAATTCATGTGATCAAATCAAATTGCATAAATTAAGTTATCTAAAAAATAAATAATTAGTTTCCATAATTATAACATAAAACCTATAAAGAAATTTTGTATGCCATGAAACTAAATAATTATCTATCATAAAAAGTTAATAGAAATTTTAATTTTAAAGTAAATTTCATGATAAAGTAAAACCTAAATTCATTTTATTAAATAAAAGCATAAATCATACTAAAATGAAAATCATGTCTATGAATATGAATTATGTAAGACAGAAATTAAAATTTTTTGGCATATTAATAAAAAAATTACTATTTTTTAAAGATTATTTGTTAAAATAATATATTTTATGATTTAATAACATCATTAATATATATGTATATATAAGGCTATACGCAGCCAGTCCCAGACTCCCACTGTTGTCAACTCTTCCTGTCCGGCTCGAGAATCTCGCCGGATGATAATGGAGTCGCCTTTCAAAGAGGACATTCTCAAGGGGAAGGTAGCGCTCGTGACAGGAGGCGGATCCGGCATCTGCTTCGGCATCTCCACGCAGTTCGGGAAGCACGGCGCCGCCGTCGCCATCATGGGCCGCCGCGTACAAGTCCTTGTCGACGCCGTTGAGGCCCTCAAGTCGCAGGGCATTCGAGTAAGCCCTATTATTTATTGCAACCCTATTTTTCTCCCTCTATTTCATGCAAGCCCAAAGTTCTGATGTTTTTTTGGTGAACAGCTTCGAGGGGTCTGCAATCAACTCGGAGTTTTCTGATTTTCCAAGCATATTTCTGATATTCATAGCATCCAAGAAGTTGACCAAATTCTTGTTTTGACGCTAATTTCTTCCTGGAAAAGATGAATATTTGGTACCTTCCGTGAATGTTTGATCTATTTGCTGTTCTCGATCCTAGGCACGGCGAGTTCTTCAGTTCTGGCCTGGTTTTCAAACATGTGGGTTTGGGGTTAGGTTTCTGTACAAAAATCTTCAAGGGTCTTATATGATTATTTTGGGGAGCTGAGCTTGGCGTTTGGTTGCATAGTATTTTGTTCTCTTCTGAGTTGAATATTAATTCGTTTCGATATTTAGTCTATTTTTTTAGTAAAATAGGCCGGCTATATAAGAAAAAAGTTTTGATTGAGTTAACGGAAATTTGTATAATCCTCACTGTACATTGTTTTTTGGTTGAAGATTAGCATAACTTTCAAGCTTTAGTAAATGCATCAAAATGTTAATACAGATGCATGGTTGGAAATTTTTGGGTGAGGATATTTTGCTTAAAATTTAATTAGAATGATCCTCATATTTATTGGATTTTTTAGATGAGGATATTAAAGAATTAATTAAATTTTTTATTATATTTATCTCAAAGCAAATTTAATGGTTTTAAGACCCAAAGTGATAAAAAAATTGATGAAAACATCTTGAGCTAAAAATTTTCCAACATAACTTAACCAACTACTAATTAAATTTAATTAACAATTTTAATTGACCCTATTGTGGGGTTTCATTTTTTATCGACTGACAAACATAATTGGACAACCAAGATATATATATATATTTTTTTGGGTAAACCAACCAAGATATATATGTTGGAGGGATAAATGGAGTGGATTTTGATGTAGGCTGAAGCCACTTCATCGATGACAAATTCCAGAACAAACTGGTGTGTTAAGCCACTAAATGGCCTTATTTTTTGAAGAGGCATTTGGTGTAGGCTACTGAGCTACTCCATTATCTTTTATGTTGGAGAGCAGGCTATGTAAGCCATCACCACTTAATATCCTTTACTTATTGAGCTGAATGGGGGTCTCATAGACCAAAGACGCTTTTTTTCTTTCTACTTGTAGGACTTCAAGTTCATTTAGGTTAAAAAAACCCAACACTCAATCCTCTTTGGAATCTAAGATGATTTAGGGTTAATCCATCCATCTCTCAGTCCTCTTAAGACCATGAGTTGGGTATTCAAGGCCTCTCTGTCAATCCATCTCATTGGAACTTAGAATCGGTGTTTGTAATAACATATCCACCTAAGCTATAGTGTAAAGATAAGAGGGCTTTTGAATTCTTGCAACATGAATGTTCTAGAGGGTTCTTGAACTTCTATGACATGAATACAATTGAAAGAGGTTTCTCAAGCTCTTATGACATGGATATTAAAGAGAGAGGCTTCTAGAGCTCATACAACACAATTATGAGGGCAAAAGGGTTGTGAAGCTTATGCAATATGAATACCCGAGATAGAGGGTTTTGAAGCTGTTATGTGTAAGTTCTTAAACTTATATGGTTCGAACCCTAGAGCAAGTGTGTTGTGGAGCGCCTGCCACATAAATGCGTAGGAGAGAGGAGTCTTAAGTATGAAGCCTAACACAAAGTGTTCTGAAACTCTTTCAGCACACCCTGTTTAATCGAGTTTTCTTAAACGCCTGTAATGCTAGTGCAAGTTTTGAAGAGTGTGCAGATAGAATTCACTCCACATCCTCAGCTATTTGAGGATGATGATTCTTCAAGTCCAATTTTAGTTTGTTAGAAGTGGATCACCTGCAAGGGTTAATTTTGTTCTTTCAAACCCCTCATTGGCTTGTGAATGAAGTTGGCTTCAGAACTCATGATCCCAACACCTGGTCTAGTTGGAGAACCTATGTGATTTTGGTAGTCTCTGCATTGATCTTTTGTGCCTTGATGCATTGACAAGTTGTTGGTCATTTTGTGTCAACGAAACACTATCACATTGTCTTCTTAAAGCTAGAATGCTTTGCTTTTATACCAATATATGGAGGGCTGTAGTGGTTTTGTTTCCAATTGATAGAGTAACGCAGCTTTCCCTTTACGGTTGTTCTTTTCCTTAAGTGTCAAACTACATCACAAAGGTCTTTATACTATGCTGGTTATTAGCAACTTGTAAAGGAATTCCCTTGCATTGTTGAGAGTGCAGGAGCCCAAGAGGCATATATATCTATATGCTCGTGTGTATGAGATTTAAGGAGATGGATTCCAGATTTAAATTAAGTTTAAAATTTGACTTAGAATTTTCTATTTTAAATAGTTGCATATCTAAGAAATTATGGAGTCTAAAATTCTGTCATATATTCTAAAAATTTATAACTAGTATCTACTGCATTATACACTAGGCAATTTGGATCAAGGGAGATGTGCGCAAACAGGAAGATGCAGCTAGGGTCGTACAAAGCACGGTTGAGCACTTTGGGAGGCTTGATATTCTCGTAAATGGTGCAGCAGGAAATTTTATTACTTCGCCGGAAGATCTATCGCCTAATGGTTTTCGGACAGGTGGGATTTTCTTTGTTTTTTATTTTTGAACTGTTTTTCTTCTACTCATCCTGCTGCCCCGGGCTACCCCAATCTCCAAAACTGTGTCTGATGAATCATTTTTATGTGCTTTCTTCATAAGATCTGCTCCTAGGCTATTTATTTCCTTATTTCAAAATTGAAAAACCTCTTGTATGGAATCATATCAGAATCTCATGGAATAAGCTTCGGATGATGTCACCAAGCGTGGAGGGCGAAGGAATCATTTCATTCATCCTATTGAGTAGTAATCAGTCCTCTGTTTTGAATAATTAAACTAGGTTTACTTGATCTGAAGTAGATGAAATTATGTGCTTGCAAAGTCAATTGTCGTACCTTTCACAAGATGAACTATTATCTCATTATTTTCTTTTTATATGTTACAGTGATGGATATTGATTCTGTTGGCACTTTCACAATGTGCCATGAAGCTCTAAAATTTCTAAAAAAGGGAGGACAAGGGAAGGGTTCATCCACTGGTGGCCTCATTTTGAACATAAGTGCAACTTTGCATTATCCTGCAACGTGGTATCAAATTCATTCCTCAGCTGCAAAGGTTTGCCATCTTCTCTTCTCTTAAACCCCCTTCATTCCAAAGGCCAACTCCAAAGAGGACTTCCATAAACATCCAAATTGGTCCTAATACTTTCAATTGGGCAGGCTGCAGTTGATAGTATCACAAGGTCCTTGGCCCTAGAATGGGGTACTGATTATGAGATTAGGGTCAATGGAATTGCACCTGGAGCAATTCAAGACACTCTTGGAGTTGAAAAACTTTCAACAGAGGAGATGAGAAAAGTAATAGAGAATACACCTCTTTTTAGATGGGGGGAGAAATGGGATGTTGCAATGGCTGCTCTCTACCTGGCTTCTGACGCAGGTTGGTATTTTTACTATTTTCCCACATAGTAGCCCACCCAGGTTTGAACATAGTTCTTGTGGCCTAAAAGTCATTTTTAAAGAAAACTTATTTTTCTCTTAATCACGACAGTAGTCTATCTCAATCTTTTTCTCTGTGTTAATTCATGTTTTAATGTATTTTACATGCTGAAGAAACCTAATCATAGTGACTATTAATGGGAACAAATAAATACAAATGTTTATCTTATCCCAACTATTGGGGAATAAACAAGTGCTGGGACAGGTTAAATATCATTACAATGTCAAGACATTGTAAGTCTGAAAATTTGTTGGAATGAAATGGTTGCTTATTTTGCTAATAAGTTTGTCTAAGTCCATGGTTTGTTGGTTTGTTGACTATACTGATACTGACTGATACTTGCGGACTTTATTGTCACAATGTAATATGATAAGCATTTTGACAATAACTTGGAGTCATTCAAAGCGCAGCTTAAGCCAAATTAGTCCATAATTCTCCCTTTTGGAAAAATAACCCTTTGCTTGTGATCCCTTTCAAGTAGTTGAGTATTTGCATAACAACATTTAGGAGTTTCTCAAGGTGCATATAGGAATTGAGTTATCATACTAACTGCTAAGGTAACGTCTGGCCTGATATGAAATAAATATGAATTTATCAAATAATATTTACTCCATTCCCTTATTGACAAAGTGTCAGTGCTAAGATCACTAAAATTTATGTTTGGATCAATTGGAGTGTCGATATGTTTTCTTCTTGGCAACTCATATTCTTTTAAGAGATTAGGAATATATTTTATTTAAGAAATGATAATACTGGATTTATTTCTAGTAATCTCTATTATGAGAAAGCACTTGAGTGGACCAAGTTCTTTTATTTCAAACTCTTTAGCTAGTCTTTTTTGCAAGATGTTTTTCCCAATCGTGATCCTCTATTACTATGCCAAAAAGGCTAGCTAAAATCGTGATCCTCTACCACTAGCTAATTTTTTTTTCAATATTCTTTCAAGGACCAAGTTTTTTTTTTTTTGCTAACTAAAATGTTTAATATTATTTTGAAGACAAAAGATGCTAGATGAGTGGAGATTAAGTGTGTTGATTTCTATTTTTAAGAATATAGGTGATGCATAAGTTTATGCTAATTATAGAGGAATTTAATTAATGTGTCGTACTTTGAAACTATGAGAGAGAGAGAGAGAGAGAGAGAGAGAGAGAGAGAGAGAGAGAGAGAGAGAGAGAGAGAGTTATGGAGCGTAAGTTACGATGTGATATTAATGTTTCTCAAAATCAATTTGGATTCATGCGGGGTAGGTCTACTATGGAAGCTATATATTTATTGAGAAGTTTGATGGAGAAGTATATAAAGAATAAGGAGGATCTACATATGATATTTATTGATTTAGAGAAAGCATATGATAAAGTTTCTAGAGAAGTGCTGTGGAGAATTCTAGAAAAGAAATGGGTTAATAATGTTTATATCCAAGTCATTAAGGATATGTATGCAGGAGTTATTACTTGTGTTCAACACAAGGTGGTTTGACCAAGTATTTTCCTATTTCAGTTGGATTACATCAAGGATTAGCCTTAAGCCCATATCTTTTTGCTTTAGTCATGGATATTCTTACTTGACATTTGCAAGAGTATGTACCTTAGGGTATGCTTTTTGTTGATAATATTCTTCTTGTTGATAAGACTAGAGAGGGAGTTGAATGCAAACTTGAATTATGGAGGTCAATCTTAGAGTCTAAAGGTTTCCATTCTAGTAGATCTAAAACCAAATACATGCAATGTAATTGTAGTAGTAACAGATCTAGTGGGAGATTGTGATTGGGCCGATCAAGTCATTAATAAGAGTACACGTTTAGATATCTTGGGTCTATTGTTCAGAGTGATAGTAAAATAGGTGGGGAAATTATTAGTAGAATTCAAATTAGATGGTTGAAGTGGAGGAATGCATCTGGCTTGTTGCGTGATAGAAAAATATCCCTCAAACTTAAGGAAAAAATCTAAAAAATGGTGGGGAGACCTGCAATGCTTTATGGAACATAATGTTGACTATTAAAAGAGAAACATAATATTAAGTGTTGAAGAGAAATACTGAAATTTAGCATCTTCCGCAGAGTTTCTTCTTGTTAGATTGGCAAGAATAGTGGCACTCAATTTTCAATGTGGTTGAGAAGTTATATGTTGACGCAACAGCTATTTACTTCAGGCATCAATAGATGGATTATAACTTGACTGGAAGAATTTTGTTACGGTTTAACTATAACGAAGATTTATTCCTATCATGATATCATTTTGATTTAAATTAATTCCTAGGATATGGTTGAAATATCTTTGAATCTCAATGAGCATTTTTTTTTTAATTTTGGGTAGTGGATAAATTTCAAAAATGTTTTTATAAACTTCATCAAAATCTTTTTTAAGGCTAGTGAGGAAATCATAGGTCATTGTTTCTCCATAAGTCGGATTTATTTTCGTCCACCCTTCCTGCATCAATCATTTGACTCAAACATGTCCAATTCCTGTCATTTATTTTGTGAATGCTCGTGCTTCCTTAGAGATCATGGGTGCTCAATGAAGACTTGGATTGATCTCCTAGCTTGTTAAGGAGGAAGAAGAGCCAATCTTCTCCTCATTTTTTTGCTTCACTCTATTAGGGTCTTTCTGTCTATATATATAATTATATATAGACAGAAATTGAATGGCTGTTATTAGGATAAATTAAGAATTATTAATTAGGATAAGGATTGATAGATTTGTGGTTTATTTGGTACGGCTGTAATTTTTTGTAATATAAAATTTTTGCAAGTAAAATAAATTTTTTAAAAGTTATTATAAAAAATAGCTTTCTAGCAACAAATTTTCTTGAATGCAACAAAAAGCAGTAGCCAAATATAAATTGTGGTTGCAATTTAAAAAATAAAGTAATAAAAAAGCTGGTACAAGTGAAGCCTTGATATGCTTTGAAAGATTCACTGTGCACCATTCTTTCTTATCTCTCTTCCTCTTACAATTCTTTTTCTCACTACTCCAATCTGCAGTTCCCTATTCTCTCAATCTCTCTCTCCTCTCCTCTTGATTGCATCCGATTGCTACATTACCTGATTGCTATAGCAAAATCCTACAATAACACCATCTTAAACAATCTTAATTTTTTTTTTTTTTTTTCATTTAGAGTCCTTTCTTCAATTCAATCGAGAAAAATGATACGTTGTTGTTGTCGAGTCCTTTCTTTGATTCCTTCATATCTAAGAAGAAATTAATAATACCAAAGATGCAAAAGGATCAAAGAAGAAGATGATAAACAAATTTATGATTAAAACCCTTGGATCAAAGTAGCAGCAAATCAATTCTTGTTTTTACATTGATTTCAAAATCAAAGTCAAATTTCTTGATGACTATTATGTTTAAATCAGTCTTTAAGCTATATAAATTTCTTTTTCTCATCATCATGAGAACTATAAAATCAAGAAAATTGACATGTGTAAGATTGCATAAATTCTGTCTAGGAGTTGCATTTAAAATATAAAAATTTTCTTACAGAGTTAGAAAATTCTCATTCATTTAGAATCAATGTCATGAATTTATTGACATTTTTCATTTAGCTTTTATAAGTATCTAAGTAAATAACATTACTATCGATATAATTTAGATAAATCTCATGTATATCCATATGATTATAAATCTCATGTATCTATTCTTACACTAAGTGCTATCATGTAAATATGTTGCAGGATGATTGATCAATTTATTGCTTAATGATATTAGATGAATTCATGGAGCAATCAACTAAGGTTTCGTTTGTGACAACTTTCTTATTGCTTTCTAAAGCAACTTTCTAGTACAAAAATTTTTTACACTAAAAAAACTACTTTAAGAAGCAATAAAAAGCCGTTCTAAGCGAAACCTAAGGCTTTGTTTGGGATGGCTTTTTCAGTGCTTCTTAAAGAAGCTTTATAGTACAAAAATTTTAAGCAGCGATAAGAAAGCCGTCCCAAACGAACGCCTAAATCACATATGACTCCATAATCATATGAAGTTGTGAGCTGACACTGTTATACTAATCTCACTATTTTGCTATTTTGAGAAGGAAAATACATCAATGGAACCACTATAGTCGTTGACGGAGGGATCTGGCTATCCCGACCTCGACGTATTCCAAAAGAGGAGGTAAAGCGAATATCCAGGATTCTGGAGAAAAAGTCTAGGGAATTACCAACTGCAACGACAAACAGCAAACTCTGATGATTTATAGCACGTAAATGGAATATTAGCATTATTTTATGTGATGTGAGAAGAAAATATTGTTATGATCGTAGATGTCATCTAGCTTAGTAGATAAAAAATTTGTTTGCATTATTGGCTATGGCTCATATTTTAAGTCTAAATTCTTATTGATTTAAAATGTTTACTGCATTTGTAGGGTGTTATGTGGAGATGATAAATAAAACCATCACCACTCAACACCGCTAGTAAGATGTATATGTCTGCAGTTGAAAATTCGAGTAAAATTATGCGAAGTACAAAATATTCCTTCCAAGGATGAAAATATTTCAGTTTTAAATCCCTTTATTATTTCTTAAACAGTGGTGGAATTATTAGTATCGGCTACATATTGCTGCTAAGGCTATCTCCAATCAAACGACATTCTCCAGTTTGTAGTAGTCATGACCGTCCAATTGAATGGCGAGTCGAACACAACTTTCGCATTTTGAACGTTGTGACGTCAATATTGACATCGCATTACTCATAGCGGAGAGAAAAAATAATGCGTTTCTGTTTGACATTTGGGTGGATATTTGTGACAATTATAAATAGGTGATAGGCGAATGGTGTTTGGTTCTGTTGGAGATGTCCTATGGTCTCTATTTTGACTTTAAATGATTTTTCTCAAAGAAGATTCTAAGCAATTTCTTTTAAATTTAACTTTTAAGTTTAATTTCATGCTACATATAAATTCTTTCTTTAAACTTTATAAAATGTTTTTAAAATGAGGATATTTCAAAATTTTAAAGAAATCTGAGATCTTTCGATGTACTATCAACTCTCTGGCAACAACTTTTCGGTATCTTATCATCAAATATATTTAGCTTGTCCTTTCTGTATATTGTCAATTGGGTTTTGCAATTTTTGGTCTTTGTATTTTCATAAAATATAATATTCTCTTGTTCTTTGCTATTGAGAAGAGCTTAAACAAAGTTTTTTTACTTGAGGAAAAAAATATTTAGGATAGTCCAATTCTATCATCTCAGAACACAAAAGAAAAAGAATGGATTTCATAACTTATAAACAATTACTCCTTAATTTTACCCTTTGTGTCATCATAATAAACAGCCCAACGGATTCAAAATTTAATTATCTAGAATAGGATTGTCAACTAATTTGAGTAGAGATGAATACTATTTTATTCAAAATTTTCCTATTAACTAGCTCAAGCCACTTGAGTTTTAGGCTTCGTTTGGGACGGCTTTTTTATTGCTTTCTAAAACGGAATTTTAGTACAAAAATAAAAAATTTTGTACTAAAACCCCGTTTTAGAAAGCAATAAAAAAATCGTCCCGAACGAAGCCTTAATAAAGCCAAGGTAACCTCATCACAGCAGGTAAATACTTTCATAGTTATTTATTAAAATTATTACAGTTTATTCAGTTTTAGTTTTTATCTTTTCTTGAAACAAAAAAGCAAATAAAAAAAATTTAAATTAATTTGAATCATTTTCTCAAGAAACCTTTGAACCTAATTAGACCTTGATCCATATGCCACATGATTATAGCACTTTTAAGACCTAATTATTAAAAAAATGAATGAATTAAAAAAATGAATGAATTCATTTATGTCAAATTAAAAAAAAAATATTCAATTTTGTTTAATAATATAAATAAACGAAAATATAATAAATTTTAAACAAACAATGATTGAGCTGTTCAAGGAACATACCTGTTAAATTCTCCTCATAATCTTCAGTTTTTAGCTTGTTCGATGAATGGATCTTTTGAGGGTAAACCTTCCTCAGCTGTACTTTGTGTATCTACAGAAGCTCCCTTGCAGAATCTGTAATTTTTTTCTAAGCAAATTTTACTCTTACAATCAATGGGCCTCACCTCTCTGAGTTCGGGAGAAATTATTCTGTGCAGACACCGAAAGGAGAGAATCATCTAGATTTGCTGTCATTTTATTGTGCTTTTGCAAAAAATAGTAAAAGTGCAACAAATATTCAATTATGAATGCATTTTTACTACTCTTTTGGTGTCCTTTTGTAAAAGTGCAATTAAAATTCAATTGTTTAATAAATACTAAATATTTGCTGCTCTTTTGCAAAAAACGTAGCAAAAGAATAGTAAAAGCACAACCGAACAGTTCTCTCCATCTGATGTCCGCACAAAATAATTAGTTCAAATTTCAGCACCAGAACTGAACCTGTATTGTTGATTATTCTTACTCCTAGTATTCTCCTGCATTATCAAATGTGCTTGCCTTAGCACATGAAAAGAATGAAAATAGAATAAAATTTGCAGTAGCAAGAGAAGGGATCACGATGCAACTAGATAGGCTTATTAATATTCTTCCTCCAATTTCTTTCCCCTACCACAACTCCAGCTTTCGGTGATTCATCTTGAAACTTGAAGACTATGGTGGTATTATCTTCTCTTTTCATATGCAGTTGCTTGTGAATTCTAAAGTTGTTTCTTCTCTGTCTTCCTAATTTTCTATTAAATCGTCATTTATTTGTTAATTGAATGTAATTAGACATTAAAATCGATTTCAAAGTCCACAAATCAGCTTAAAACTCAAATGATAATGTAATTTTTATTGAATGCATCCAATGTCAGTTAGAAGATAGTTAATTTCCATTAAATTGTCCAAAGAGAACAAAATAAACAAGTCTGGCAATCCATTATATCACACTGATGTCGCTGAATCGATCATTTTGTTGCTGCAATTTGAAACAATAATTTCAAAAACAGAAGTTAGAACAATAACTACGGCATACTTGGACTTACGTTTCGTTTGGAATGATTTTTTTACTGTTTTTTAAAGCAGTTTTTTAATAAAAAGTTAAAATTTTTATGCTAAAAAGCTGCAGTAAGAAAGCTGTCCAAAATGAAGCCTTAATTATACCTTACTCTTGATTATGTTCGCTTCCTTTCAGATAAAGATGGAACTGAAAATGGCATCAGCCCTGGTCTTTCTTATTGCTTCATTGATGTTTGCTGATGCAAGGTATTATAGCGTAGAGCCTACTCAGTTCATGCCTGAAGGTAACCATACTTCGAATTCTTTTTCTATGTATTCCTGCCTGAACTTTCCATACTGTCACAAGCTAATCAATTTTACGAAAAGAAAATATCGAAAAAAAAAACTATGTTCCCCAGTAACAACAAAATAAGTATGTGACTAAAAATCATGTAATTGACAGGAGATGGAAGATGCAATTTGTGCTTGGAGGCTTCAAGGAAAGCTGAAAGAACATTAAAAGACATGAACCTGCTTAAGGAGTTCGATATGCTTTCAAGTGAAGTATGTCATTTCCTGCCAGAAAACTTTGAAACTCAGGTGAGATTTTGTATTCATTGTAGCTCAATTACATGAAGCCGGTTCAGTAATCTCTCTCAATATTCGTCCTTACTAGATATCAATTGTCTCTCTAGCAGTGTTTGGAGAAATCTAAGATGCAAATTCATCATACCAAACAATCATTGCAAGAAGTTTTCCATGAAAAAAACCTTTGCAACATCACAGGTTTATGCATTGACCAGCACAGGACACAAGATGAAATTGAAATCTTTGTGGAGAACAAAGTATCTATGGAGGTGAGAAAATTAGAAAAAAGGATTCTTAGCTATGCAAATAATATGTTATCTGAATAACTTCTTGCTGAATAAATTTTCATCTCAATTGAAAACAAACAAAGATAAGGAATTACATTCTCAATTGCAATAGCAACAATATGAAAAATGCATGTCACTCGGTTTAGTAATATGCAGTTGTAGCTTTTTTGGATCTGACGTCTTTTCACCATATATATATTCGATAGAGCTGAATTACTACTTTGCATAAGCTAACCCATTATTTAAATAGGAACTTTTGGTATATAACAAGAAAAATTGAAGAGTGTTTTTAAGGTGAAGACAAATGAAGCACAAAGCTAATATATATGATGGATAATGATGTCAAAAGTTTGCATTTTACCCAGATAGGCTAGGATCACTTTTCACCTATGTGCACAAAAACTTTTATAACATTGGAAACTGGAAATACTTCAGAGAGATTTTCAAGCTCCTCAATCTGATTTGAGCGTATGACACTAATTCAAATATGTTCACGTTGATTTTAATTTAACTAAGGAAATCAAGTGAGTTTTTACATTAATTTTTATTAAATATATATATGTTGTATTATAAACAAGCTAAGTATGCTTTAATGGGTAGCACACAAAAGCTCATCTTAAATTTAGGCTAGCTCAAGTTCTTGATGGACTTTAAAAGCCTTAATTAAATGCACTTGAATAAAGTTTTGAGTTACCCATTTGACAGCCATAGGAATGAGATTAACAATTATCAATTAATCTTAATAGAAAATAAATTAATATCTAAATGTGATAGATTTATGTATCTTGTATCTATCATAAAAAAGGGCATACATGATATTACTTCTAAAGTTAAATATAGATGACTAAAATGGATAAAGTGAGAAACACCAGCATGTAAAGTAATAAGAAAATATCATGGGGGTTTTAAGATATATAAAACTACAATTATATAGAGGATGTAGATTTGAGTATTGGAAAATAAAAAAATATTAATAACTAAGCTAAGTGTAATATAGATGAGAATGCTGATATGGATTAGGGGAAAAACAAAAAAATAAGATAGAAAAATGAATATATTATATAGACGATAAGAGTCATACCTACTGAAGATAATTAATGAAAGACAAACTTTTATGATTTGGGCATGCATACGGGTAGAAAATGCACCCATCAAATGGGCGGATAAAATTCTTGTCAAAGAACTAGAAAGAAAAATGATATATCTAATATGACTGATTGAAGTGTGCTCAATAGGTTTGGCATCACATCCACCACCAAGCTAAAACTCATAGAGAATGAATATTTATTAAGGAGGCCTCAAACAGTTGAGATAAAGCTAAAACAAAAGTTAATTATAAAATCAGAACCAGATAAACAAAAAAATTAAACATATCTACCTTTTAAAAGTTCTCAACTTCTGGAGTGGTTGTATGACTTGTCCCTTTTCAGTTGGAAGACGAAAGAGGTTGTATAGCATGCCGAAGGGCTGTGAAAGACCTACTCATGAAGATGAAACAGCCTAAGATGAAGGTAAGTTATAACATCTAGTTCATTATGTCATTCTCTTTAGGTTTCAAAGTAATCAGTGAATGTGTAATTCACCTTTAATATTCTTCATTTCTACAGACAAAGATAATTGAGGCCCTTATAGACTACTGTGAAGAGGCAGAAGATAATGAGGAGCAAGTAAGTTCACAGCATCTTAAGAATCTGATTAAAAAGCATTATCATTTGACAAATTTGCATTCCATTTTTTATGCAGTGCAAGCAAACAGTCTACAAGTATGCTTCTACAGTGTTGAATAAACTGGAAAAGTTGAAACCCAATGACCTGTGCGTTATGATGGGAATGTGTGATGAAGCGTTTGCCTTGGTCAATATATTGGACAAAATGGGCTCTTAGATTTCCTTCTTTTCAATAAGGAGATAAGATGACCTTAGCAGTTTTGAATAAACGTTTAGCAAACATGAGTTTCATCTGCCAGTCAGAAATCAATATTGCAAGCCATACCTTACTAGTTAACAAAGAAAAGTTCTCTGTGGTATATGATATTCTCATCAAATGATCAGCTCCTGTAAAAACATATGTCTGACCTGACCTCTCACCTGTGCATTCATGTGGAGTGTCTGAGGGAAAGTAATGCATGATCCTGCAGCTATAATAATTACTATCCATTACGATTTGCTACTCAGTGTCCAATCAATTATTTCAGGTTCTATTTTTTATGGTTGATTTCCATTTTAAATATTTTGAATTTTAATATTTTTGGAGGTTTTGGATTTTGTGGGCATTTGGGTGACATTTTGAATATTGGAATTAAACCCTCCAGTTGAGATCTAAGTTCAACATGACCAACATCGGGGTATTCACGAGCAATTTACATTCTATTGATTGAACCTTGTCGACTATGTCAACTTGCCGACCGAGAATCGGGTTTGTTGTTGGCTTTATGTCTTTGGCTTCGTTTGGGACAACTTTCTTATTGCTTCTTAAAGCGGCTTTCTTACCATGAACCATGATGGTTTGGGATGACGAAATCATGAGATCTTGATCGGGCTCATCATCACTCCCATTCACCATCCGCTTTAAATGCAAGATGGTGAAATTTCAAATTTTAAATATCAATTTTTCAAATACTAACTAATGCTGCTACAATATGTCGGATATCACATATCTAGATATGATTTATTCATTTGACGACTAGCCTTAATCGAAAGTTCTCTCTTATTATCGGTAAGGTAATTAATTATAGGGACTTGCGCCTATAGGAAACCAAGACTCATATCATAAAGTCCTCGTAAAATGAGGGCGAAATCTCTGGGTAGTGTCTTATTTCAAACCCAATATGTGTTCTGAAAATTTACCCCATAACCTAATTCGTTAAAACTCTCCCGAGGAAAAAGGGGGGAGGTCAGGGGGTGAATCTTGAGAGCACACATTTTCTTATCACGATAATATTCTCTTAAGCTCAAGGAACAACCAAAGGCCTCAAGGAGAGAAAACACCTCGAGAGATCAAAAGCAAGTAATTTATCTAGAAACCTCAAAAATATCTAAGAACGTTTCTCACGTCCACAAAAGCACAATTGTAAAACATGGAGGGAAAGAAAATGCTTCAAACATGAAGATGTTAAACAAGGGTTTTTTGTACATGACATAAAAATGATATTAAAAGCATTATATAATTGAAGGAAATATTGAAAATATGATAAAAATAAAGGATGTGAAAGACATTTCTCTCTCTCTTTTTTTAAATCATGAAACAGACTTTTTAAAAGTAAATGGAACACAAGGCTTGTTTAATGACTTAAAAGTTTTTCTAAGAATTCTAATCCTCTCATATTTGAATGTATATGATTTTCTAAGACAATGAGTGTTTTCTCCGTGGGAGAAAACTTGAAAAATTCAAATGCAACAAAGCCAAAAACACCTCATCGCAGCTATCAAGTTTTTTTTTTTTAATTGGAGAATGATAGCTATCAAGCTAACAACAAAATCACCATTACCATTATCCCAGCCCTCTCTAATGAGAAGGGTCCAGAGTCTCAATCACTTCATAAAAGGGATCTTTTGTCTCATATATGGGTACAGAACAAAAAGGTAATATAATTAGCAGCAAAAACATGTAACAAAAACCTCCACAGTCGGCAAGAGAAATAATATGTAGCAGATATATATCCACTATGCTAACAATTGTTTAAAACACCTCATTAGTCACGCAAAGAAAGGTTTCCTTATTCAGTCACATCTACAAAACCACCGTACAAAAAGTGGGGCTCAGCTAAGAACCACAGCTCTTAAAATCCTCTCTAGAGAAGAACATGACAAACATAAGGAGATGACCCGAAATACAGTACTTAAAAAAGAAACGTTGGACTAACTTTAGGCATCATCCAGTGCAAGAACACCAGGAAGTGTTTTGCCTTCTAACAACTCCAAGCTCGCACCACCTCCAGTAGAGATGTGGCTCATCTTATCAGCAAGCCCAACTTTCTCAACAGCAGCTACAGAGTCGCCACCTCCAATAATAGTCGTGACTCCCTTTCCACTAAGATTAGCCAATTTCTTGGCAATAGCCTGACATGATGAAGTTTAAGTGAGAATATAGCCTTCTCTGCTAGTTACAAACTAACTTGTGTTATGTTTTAACTCACCTCAGTTCCCACAGAAAACTTCTCAAACTCAAAAACACCCATGGGCCCATTCCAGATGATGGTATTAACACTATCTAGAGCTTTACTGAATGTCTCAATGGAATCTGGCCCAATATCGAGTCCCATCCAGCCATCAGGGATGGCAGATGATGGCACCACCTGTACCATAAAGAAAATGAAGGCTTTTAATATCATTGAAACTGAAGTTATAATAAAAAGTTGGCCCTGTAAATATTCAACCCACAACTGCATGTAATTTGATGGAAATAAATGTTGCTCATATTTTTTGTTTTAATCTTTCCGAGAATTAGTTTTAATAAGTCCAGAGATGTAAAACATCTAAGAGATTTGGAAAGCTTATCCAGAAAGCTTAAATGGTTTTTCTTAACAAAGTGAGCGCAGTCAAGAAAAACGCTATTTTTCTGCAAGTGGGAATCCACCCCAGCTAGATGCCCAGAAACTGCATGCATGCATTGCAGAAGCAGGCAGGCCCTACCGTACATGGGTAGATTACAAACGAAGCCTGGATCTACATACAACTTGAACTGCACGAGCAATACAAGGGCTTGCAAAATGTTGACATATACCAAGAACATTAGAAGAAAATCATGAGAAGACAAGACCACAGACCATAACACAATTATTTTCCATTTTAAATACTAATTTTAAACAGTTTACAGTCATTCTTGTAATAAATTAAGGAACTTTGCACAGCAATTCACATGAGCAATGAACAAACCTTGCTATCAGCATCTGCAGCAAACTTGTCAGCAACAACAATGTCAGTTGGCAACAGAAGTGATACTCCTTTGGACTTTGCCTTCTCAATAAGTGAGGTTGCCAACCCAAGCTTATCTTCCTCAACAAGAGAGGAACCAACACCATGTCCTTGGGCCTTGTAGAACGTAAATACCATTCCTCCACCAAGAATAAGGATATCAACTTTCTGTAAAAGTGACTCTATCACTACAATTTTGGTGGAAACTTTTGCGCCACCAACAATGGCAGCAAAAGGTCTCTTGGGGTTTCCAACAGCTCCAACAAGGTAATCGAGTTCCTGAAGTAAAAGCACATTTAACAGAGGCAAAAAAGATTTTTGTTCTACTTCATTACAGTACATGTACATGTAAATATGGCTAGTTTAATAATATCCAAAAACTCTTCTACATTTAGCATATCAAAGTGAAGACGGCATCATACCTTCTGCATAAGGAAGCCAGCAACAGCAGGTTTCAAGTACTTCGTGACGCCCTCTGTTGAAGCATGAGCTCTGTGAGCCGTTCCAAACGCATCATTAACATAGAGATCAGCAAGGGAAGCCAATTTCTTAGCAAACTCTGGATCGTTCTTCTCTTCTTCCTTATAGAATCTCACGTTCTCAAGAAGCACTACACCTCCATCTGGCAATGCAGCCACAGTTTTCTCAACTTCCTCACCGATACAATCACTGGCCATCAAAACCTATACGATTGCACCAAATCTTAAAAAAAGTTATCTTTTTAAATTTAAAAACAGCTCTGATTGCACCACATCCTAAGAAAGAAGACTCATTTAAATAAAAATAGCTAACATTTAGAATCCATGAACATTGAACAGCTTACATCAATTCCAAGAAGTTCTGATATCCTAGGCACAAGAGGCTTCAAGCTGTACTTTGGAGTGACACCTTTGGGACGACCCTGGATATTAAAATAATGTTAAAATGTATGCACGGTGCTGTTTAGAGGACTAATTCATATCAAAATAACCAAGGCAAGTCTATCACAATATCCTTGGGGAAAGAAGTTAATAAACATTTAAAAGAAGCAAATAAGTGTTATCATATTCTGCTAGGAAATTGTAGAAGGATTAAGTAGAGCACTGTCAGCTGATGATTCAGCTTTCTAAACCCTTCAATGGTTAATAGAGTTAAATTAAGCGAAAAAAAAAATTAACATATTTTCTAGGGACATATAAACCATACATAATGAATAGGAATCTAAGTTTCAAAATAAAGACACCTTAAATTCAGGGAATAATAGTAATCAGCTCTTCAAACATTGTGAAGGAAAATCATGAGAACCAATGAAGAGCAGAAACCAACAGAATTTCAGAAAGTGTAAAAGGTCAAGAAATAAGTTTACCATGGCATGCTGATACATCAAGGCTTGAGAAGCAAATGATAGGTTAACAATAAATGACGAACTCTTTTTTGATAGTGGTGGAAAAAAAAGTGAACAGAGGAAGGGGAGACAAAAAAATCTACCAAAAAAGGCTCACCAGATGGCTGCAGAGAATGACCCGAGCGCCGCGCTCGATCAAATACTTGATGGTAGGAACGGCGGCCCTGATTCTAGTGTCGTCGGTAATCTTAAGATTGTCATCAAGCGGAACGTTCAGATCAACTCTGACGAGCACCTTCTTCCCCTTCAGATCTGCACCCTTCAGATCACCAACGCTTCTTTTGGCCGCCATTCTCAATACCCTGATCACGAACCGATCAAACAAGAAGAAGAAAAAGGCAAAGGCGTACTCGTAAATTCCACCGCAAGCCGCAGGGTAACTGAAAAAGATTGCCTTTTGTAGCGGAAAGAAGGGATCCGCTTCAAGTTTTTCTTGCCGCGGGGGTTGGCGAAATGCGAATATTCTCTATTGATGCGTTCGAAGCGGGCCGGCAGTCCGCAGCAGGCCCAGTTTCCGTGGGCGGTAAATCGGACCGCGGAGAAACCGTGGGCTTCTTATGATTACATGATTTTGTGTATTTTTCTAAGAGATTCAATTTCAAAATTAAAAAGAAAATATAAAATTGATCATTGACTTTTATGAATGATCAAAATAGTTTTTAAACATATTAAATGTCTATTTTCATTTTTTTAAAATTAAAAAAATCTCATAATTAAACTATTTTAAAATTTTAATTGCTCTTTAAACAGTTGAGGGATCAAAATTAAATTTTAATATATTTTGAAACTATTTTAATATTTCATATGGAGTCAAGTGACTATTTCAATTATATAAAATTAATTTAATTTAATTACAAAGATATCATTTTTTTATCAATTTTATATGATCCAGTGATAAGTGAATCAAGTTGACTTACTCATCAGCTTAAACCCATTTCAATAAAGGGATCTTAAGTTGAACTTGTTAAGCTAATCAGTCAAATTTAAACCAACTTGACTCGGCTCATTAGCCCACGAGTCAGCTCGTTTAAATAATACTAATAGAAAATATACTTAAAATGTATTAAAATTTAAGAGTACAAGAACCAAACTATTAAAAATATTTTGAAATTATATTTCACTTTATTATATCAAATAAATCCTTATTATTTATTTTTTCATTCTTTTTTATAATTTCATTATTATCATAATTACTAAAATCATAATTTTTCTCTTTTGTTACAAACACTCACAGATAGTTTAAACTATTAGAATTAAGCTCAAGCTCGAGCTCGAACTTAAATTTGATTAATGTTTTTTTTTTCCCACCACTATCAAATAATTAAATCTTTTCATAAAGTATTTTTGGTTGGAATAAAAAACTCATAGAATAAATAATAAGCCACCAAATATAGTATGCTCCATAAATGAATTTAGCTTTCAAAACATCCAGAAGATTTGAAATTTTATCTTGTAGCCAATGCAAGGCTGACGGCCTTCAATAAGAGTTTTGGAAGGTAGCAGGACTGAAATTTATGTATTTATTGAGCTCTTCCGGCAAGAGGATGCCAATTGACTATAAATGGCACTTCTATACCAGTTTTCAGCCCTTCTAGAAGAGCATAAATTGTGAAATTATTATGAGCGTATGTCATCTTGAGGCGAATCAAGATGTGTCATGTCATTTTTTTAGTGTAATAGTATTATATATCGAATGACGTGACATATTCTAATTCGCCAGCGGATGATCCAATAACCGCACGTAATAACTTCTCCAACATATTGCCCTATATGACACTAATACGGACCTGATATGATAAATAGGTGAGATATCAAGGGTAAATGGGGAGTGGTTGGATGGATGACAGATATTGAATCCCTTGATCATGGACTGTTCGTCAAATATTTGAAGGTCTTAATGATGTCGGAATTCAGCTATCTTGGGCTCGTTGGATTCGTCTCATCGAGCCGCTCGATTCGACTATATAAGCATGTAATGTTTGAAAACCGTTTGATAATCCAAATTGTGGTTCGAACCTTCCAACAGCGTTTCGAGTCCTTGATTTGGACTCATTTGGGCTCGGATTGAGTCGAATTTGGTGTCGTTGGATTCGTATTAGACGATCAATCTGACTTTAAGTTTGCTGAAATCGAAGTTCGGATGGTCCCAATTTTAATTTCGGAAGTTTCCAACTTGATTTTCCTCGAAATTCATGCCCGTTCAAGATAATTTTTTTATGATGTGGTTCATAGTAAAGAAACCTAAAAAAAATCAACCATTTGTTAACCACTTGACTTTGGCCCTTTTTGTGACCCAATTGGCTTCCAAACAAGTGTAAAAAGTCAGTAGGCTTTTTATAAGAATGGCCTCTGAGTTCATAGTGGGATCCAACGTATTGTCATCAAGGAGTTAAAAGATTCTTATTTGATAGTCTTTGGGAGTGGTGATGACTTCAAATAAATATGTTGTAAAAGTTTGTGATTGATCTTTCAATGCATCTATGAGAATTATTAGCTTCTTGCAGAAAATTACTATAAGGCCAGCACAAAACTTAGAACATAAATCTGTGCACGGTAGGCATGAGGGAGCTAGCATAAGTGATGATAGGGGAGGTCAGAACAAAGGTGTAGTACTTCAGTAAATGAAATGGAAATTTTGCCAAGCCATTAGCGGTTGTAGAGAGCCTAATCAAATTTAACTCTTAGACCAAGTAAAGTTTAGGCGTGATAGGCAGTTCAGAGATGCTGATTACAAAAAAGACATCCTTAAAAAGTACCTCGCATAGTCAACTTTCCATGGATAAGTTGCTTGTGGAAAAGGATAGAGTTGAATTGAATCCAAGAAGCATCATATCTGATCCAGATTCAACAATGATGACAGCATGAAAATTACTGTACTGAGGGCGTCTCCAGCCGAACTCCAAACGACTTTAAGGCGTAGCTGGTTGTTGAACGGAAAAAAAAAATCGCTAATCGATTTTTTTGTCTCAACCGGATTTGCCGAAGAAATGCGTGAAAGAGGAGAAAGATGGTTAACTTCGTAGAAGCACGCAGACTGGTGTTTGATTGGAGATGAATCACATCATTTTTTAGTTTCACTGTATTTTGGAGTGAAAATGGGATTTTCGGTTGGAGATGCCCTTATCTTCATTGTTGAATATCACTTAATGTGGTTTCTAACAAACCTTGGGTCGTTAATTTGAGGCACGAGGACTTTAACTTCAAGGAGAGAGATAAGGTTTAGCTTGAAGGAATACTAAAGATTCCTAAAATCATGCATCCTTTCAGTTTCATGAAATACCCAACGTTCCAAGCAGTATGGATTAGACTTATCATTGGATGTTATGAGAAGTGGAAAGAGATTTGGGTGTTTGTTAATATGAGAGGTTCCATAGCTATCCCATTGGAGCTTCCATGGGATATGAGATCTTGAAGTAGGGGATCAGGGTTTGAGGGTAGGTTTAGAAGTTGTTAAAGCTAGGGGCGAAGTGGGAGGAGTGCAGGGAAGTTGTTAGCCGGCACTAGGGCCAGTTGAACCTGACCGGTTCTTTGCTACAAGAGGGGGCGAAACCAAGGGGAAGATAGAGAGGGGCCGGTTGGAGGGATGGGGCCCACAACTTAATTAAATTTGCTTTGGGAGGGAATTTTGAATTAGGGACTGTTTAGGAATTTTGTATTTGTCCACTCTGTTTTAATTAGTTCCTTTGGGCAGAATTAGGGTTTTCATCTTGAGTTTGAAATCAAATTTAAGATCTAGGGTTTGTTCCTTTGGACTCTAGGTTTGACTAGAGATTTGGAAAGTTGTTTCTTCCTCTCGAATTGAAAAAACTTGTATTGTTTATTATTTTTCTTGTTCGTGGATTGAATAGAAGAAGTTTGATTGTGTTTTTCTCTCCAATTTTCTGAAAATTCTGCATCGTAGTGCTGATTTCTCTCTGAAATCAGCAGTTTTCTCGCTATTTTTCACCAATTACTGTTAAGTTTGCTTGAGAACTCAAGTATTTCCCTTAGGATTACTTGCGAACTTAAGTATTTCCTATTAGAAGCTTGATGAAAGAGATAAATTTTTTACGTTGGTAAATTATAAAGATTTATTGAAACCAGATTTCTCTGTTTTAGATTGAAAGTAGATTCATTTCATTACAAGCATTAGGTTCCTCGGTAGGTTTTGGGGAAGCTTTAATAAAGAGGAAATGATCGGAGATGTAGGGATGCGGGGTTGAGGAAGGCCTTTGTTCTAATTCATCCTTCGATTACTGCTTTGGCCTCTAGGTTGAGAAGGGTGGGGTATTTGGCGTTTGAGTTTGGGCAACTATTGGTTTCATACGAAACATCCACAACAACATAAATAAGGTTTCGGCTTCCAATCACATATCACTTGAATGTTAATTTCCTTCCCACCCAAGTTATCATGAACTTCATTAGAAAGAAAAGAAGCATTGGTAATTTGAACAAAAACTCAAACAAAACTCAGTTTGGATTTATATCCATTCAGATTATAAACAAAATCATTCTCTACAAATCTAGAGTAATTGCTATACTAAATGTAACAAAATTGAGAAAAAAAGGACAGATTGAAGAACAAATAAAAATACTGAAGCTACAATAATGAAGATACAGGCTGTTAAGAAAGACAACTGTTTCTCATGCAAAGATAAATGGTCTAAATACTAACCGTTACTAATTTGAATCTGAATCCGGAGATATGCAAGTCACTTCAATTCCAGGTGAATGCTACTTTTCGGTTAGAGCACTTGGCCCCCATATATTCATGTGGAACTTTGTTCCAATAGCTTTTCTAGAAGCCATATTTTGACAAATTTTTGCCATGTTTCAAATTCAGATATCCTTACATAAAAGTTAAGGTGAAATACCAGGAAGAAGAGGAACGGCAGGCTTGGGCTTCCTTATTTTCTCAACCACTACAGCTTGGGTTGTGAGAAGAACTCCAGCAATGGAGGCTGCATTTTGAAGAGCACATCTTGCAACTCTACAGGGATCTATAACACCAGAATCAAAAAAATCTTCGAAGTTATTGGTCATTGCATTGTAACCTATTCTCCAATCACTGGCAAGAAGCTTCTCTACCACAACAGAACCGTCAACTCCTGCATTGTTAGCAATAGCTGATGCTGGTACAAGAAGTGCCTGAATGTGCCATCCAAGAATCTTATCAATTAACTTTATGCCTAATTAAAAAAATTAAATATTCTTAAAAGCCTTTTCAATTTAATATAATCAGACAAGCGTTTCATTATAACAGATCAATTTTTAGTGTAATTCATGTTTTATTTAAAAAGCGAGGCCATGAAGCAACGGTACGGTTGCCTCAGGTTTATTTTGAAGAGCCTCGAGTTCGAGTCTCAGAAACAGACTTTCTACAAATACAAGTGCAAGAGCACATACATTAACCTCTCCCCAGCCTCTGCATTAGTTGATAAGGCCTTTTTAATTCAAGGTCATTTTTGTTGTACTTAAAAACCTATTAATATTATTTGGCGGCACATCAAAACCTTAAGGGGCTGTTTGGTAGCAGGATTTAGGCTGAATTTGAGGCGGATTTGAGCAAAATCCAGCCAAACTGATGCGGACATCCAACCATCCATGGCTATCCGAGGAGCTGAAGATCAACAGCTATCATCGTCCCACGTTATCTTATATTTTATTTGTAATTTTTTCACATCACAAACGGCCTAAAATGCAAAACCAAATCTCACGGCAAATGAAAACTGCCGCAGACGGAAAATTCCACCTTTTAGTGCTAAATCCCGGATTTCCAAAATCTTGATTTTTGCCGGATTTATGAAATCCGTTGGCTCGAGAGGAAGAGTCAACTCGTTAAATTCGTTCTATAGCCAAATAGTCACACGGGATTTAATAGGATTTATCATGAATGGTACCAAATATTTTTCAGGATTTAGGTCCCTCAGGATTTCTGAAATCCGGATTTAGCAGATTTATGAAATCCTACTTAAATCAAATCATGGATGCTACCAAACAGCCCCTAAGAGAGACAATTAAACAACATATCAAACATAAAGTAAAAGTAATAACATGCCTTTCCAACTATATTGGCTCCAATCTTTTCATCTGGATCTTGAATAAGGTCGATGATACTGGAAATGTGCTTTGATAACTGCACATAAGTTGCCCCACCCCCAGGTGTTATACCTTCATCAATGGCAGCAAAAATAGAGCCCTTGGCATCCTCAATTCTTAGCTTCCTGTCTTCAAGTTCTACCTCTGTGGCGGCTCCTACCTAAAAAAACAGCAGCATTTCTTCATAATTGAAAACACTGAACTAAAAAACATGCATTCATCTACTTAAGAAAGCATAAGATGGAAAACATAGTATATTTTTTATCAATAGAATGGTGCCTATGCATAGGTAAATAGCGTGAATATAATAGGCAACTAAAAATGCAGAAGATACCCTCAATTAAGAGGATAAAATCTTATATAGAAATAATTAAAAATACTATTTTCAAACACATACTTTCTAGGACTCCCTCTGAAGCTGAAGCATATTATATATATATATAAGCTCTAGCTTGTTATATAGCTTGAAAATTTTACTTAGACCAAAAACCTTGGTAAAACTATTTACTGGTTGCTCTGAGTTTGGAGCCAAACGTGCAAGTATAGTCTTTGATAGTATCACTTCTCGAATAAACAGAATCATCCTCAATATGTTTGGTTCTTCAATGAAACATAATATTACTAACAATGTAGATAAGAACATATTTGTCAAAGTCAAGGGCATTATTTAAGGATTGAAAAACCAAAAAAGAGAGACTAAACCCACATTATTTTACATTTAAAGACTATAATGACTTTGTATTCTTTCTCAAAGCTTGATCTTGCCACCTAAGTTTGTGTTTTTATTTTTCCATGCGACCAAATTGCCTCCCATTAAGATACAATAAATGTATGTGGATTTCCTAACTTCAATGACCAAGCATAATCAATATCAAATAAAGCTTGCACATTGATATGTTCATTCTTTGAACATAGAAGAACTTTCCCTAAAATAACTTCTTGAGGTATTTCAAAATACACACAAAAAAGAGAAAAACTTCCTAATGTTCATGTTTAGGAATTTACATACGTTGAATTGCAACTCCAAATCATATGATATATCTGATCTAGTGATATTAAGATAAATCAAATTTCGAATCAATCATCAATAATAAGAAAAATCTTCAAACATCTTCTCTTTATCTATAATTTTTTTAATATAAATAAGAGGGTCAACAGTTTTGTAACCCAACAGATCAGTTTCTTCAAGAACATTAGTTGCATACTTTCGCTGAGATAAGGTCACTAATTTACTCTAGGCAAATTCAATGCCCAATAATATTTGAATCGACTTAGATATTTAGTCATAAAAGATTTTTGAAGATAGGCTTTACGACGATGACACATTTTAATCACACTCAGTAAAAGATATGCCATCAACATAAACTGCAACGAAAATAAATTTGGATGACTTAATCAGATGAAGATATAATATTCTGTTGAATCGTTACAAAGGCATGCTTCAAAAAGAGCTTCACAAATTTTATTAAAGCTTGATGTTTGTATAAGTATATATATGACTGTTGAGTTTATATCTTTCAGTTTCCCCAGAGCAAACAAGTAGTTTCCCCGTGTACACAGCTTCAATGAGATAATCAAAGAAGAAGGTATTACCTACATCCATAAAGAAAAGGCCAACCTTGATTAATGTAGATAGAAGGATTCAGATTAATTAGGCCTAAAAACAAGAGAGAATGTGTAGTAGCTGATCCCATAGATTTGAATGAATCATTTGGCAACAAGATGGTCTTGCACCTATCCATGTAGCCATTTAGATGAACTTTGTAGTGTAGACTCATCCACATGTGATTGATGTGATTGTCCGTTGATTAAACAAGACAAATATTTCGTTATTCATAGCTTGCTTCCATCTAATATCATGTAATGCTTCTTGGTATGTCTTGGGAATAAAAATGAATGACAAAGGTACGACATAATGTCAGAATCCAAATAAAAAATGATCAAAGGATATATAAGAATAAATATGACAATCAGTACAATATCTTTTACCTTTCTAAGGGACAACGAGCAAATGCAAATCAAAAGGTCCTTCAGAAAGGGGAACCTCGAACATGTCAGACAATATAGCTAGAGGTGCTATGACAAATGGCGGACAGCGTTGACATGACTATACATGGAGAGGGGGAAAGGAGATAATGACTACAAGAGGAATAAGAATACATCAAAAGGAATAGTCAAAAGAGGGGACATTTGTGCAGGAATAAATGCATTAAGAGATAGATCATAACAAAGACAGACTTATAGTAAACATGGGTACCCAAAAAGATGTACATAATGGCCCAAGTTGAAAAGTTGTCATTATCACGAAAAGAATGGACAAGCAAAGAAAGTGAGAAACTTTAGGAGGAAGTTGACTACCAAAATATAAGACAAAAAGCATGAGAAATTACCATACCTAGTTGAAGGTGGCCGATTAATAAAATGGCACACATTCAATACAATATCACCTCATAATTGCCAAAGAACATCAAAGGCTGGGCTACGCTGAGTAAATACGACGCATGCATTCAGCAGCCCATTCTGTTGAGACGTATTGAGACATAAGATTTGGTGAACAATTCAAAAGATTGAAATTGAGATCGAATAAATTTAAGGCATTATCAATAAAAATAGTATCAATCATAATAAAATTTTATTATCGACACAAAGAGTCTAAATCATAATGAAATTTTGAATTTCATTTCCTCAACCTTAAAGTGACATTTAATTAAATAAACTTGCATTATATATATATATATATATATATATATATATATATATATATGTTACACTGAG